GGGTTAGGGTTAGGGTTAGGGTTGTTAACGTTGTTACCCTTGTTTTCGTGTTGTTTTCGATGGTGCGCTTTTGTCGGCGCGCATTTGTCGACGCGCTTTAGTGGGCGCGCTTTCAACGTCGCCGTTTTGTCGCGGCAGTTTTGTCAGCATGCATTTGTCGGGCGCGCATTTGTCGGCGAACCGTTTAAGCTTATAACCTATCTCCAAATTTTGTAGCAATGAATTTCAAAAGTTTTAATGTTGTGCTGAATTGAAAAAAGTGCTTATTCTACAGGACTCGAACCTTCTGAAGCAAATTGAATTCATACAAATTTGTGTCCCTCCAAAGTACCTTAAGTTAGGGAGGAGAATTATATACCTCATAATTTATTTCCCCCTTTTCTCTCTTAAGCATTTTTCATCCCTAAATTCCCCCGGAAAATCATCAAGTAATAATCTTTCCTTCGCTTGGAAATACATACTGGTTTTGCTCTTTCAAAACTAATGTTTTGAAACTCAGGGCAGCCAGAGGTGAAAGGAACACTTTCTACACGAAGGCTTCTGCGGTCATTGTAAAGTCAGAGCCAAATTAACACTTGTTATTTTCTTCCATTGCATCATAGATTCCCCACCTCTCTTACCATACTACAGTATGACTCTTCTGCAGCTGTTGGCAAAATACTATGTGAAGAGTCAGTCATTTTCTCTCTCTGCTTTGATGCTCTAAATCCTGTTCTTAAATCATTTTTTTTTTAATCTGGGCAATCAGAGAGCAAGAGTATTATGTCAGATGAATTGCATCAGGCTGCCAGCTTGCTAGTAATAAATTCACTTTCTATGTGCTTTGACACTGAATCATATTGTTGGGAGGATGGAAAAGACTGTACTACTCAAATGTAGGTACAGGCTATACAGATATATAAAGGACCATTAAGAGAACTTTAGAGCATGGATAAATCTTTTTATCTTAAAAGTCAGACAACCAGAAATTCAGCACACAAATAGAAAATAGAAGGGAGATAAATGCTTCTGGGTGAATCCAGTGATTTTGTTTTAAAAGCAAGCGAGACGGGGGGGAAAAATTGTTACCTGTGGGTGGAAACAAACATTGCACTTGTGAATGGTTTATATTTTGTTTATTAACATCATGTAGTGCGTATAATGGAATAAAGCAGTATTAATGCGTTTTTCACTATTGAAACTCTGGGGAGCTGGCACACAAAAGAAGTTTGCTTAATATATATGCTTAATATATAAAGTTTAGTTGGCGTGCTTTCATTTTTCATGAACATTTTAGAGTGGGAAAATGTAACTTATTTCTATGAATAGGCTAGTTTTCCTCACTTTGTATGTTGAGATATATTTTCTGGTTCCACCACAAAACCGCGCCCGACTAAACTGCGCCGCTGACGTCATCAACAGGGCGACAACAGCACGGAGACAGAAGTACGCTGTAAATCCTAAACCTAAAATTAACCCCTAAACC